GGGAGTCATCCCAGTGAAAGGCAAATCTAGCCAAAATGTGGAAAGCTCTGGAGACAGTGAAGCTACCCACAGACAGGCAACAGCAGAAGCCAGCATCACTGCTGGACAAGAGGCGAAGACAGGAAGGGACATTTCTGGAGGCCAGGGCTGGGTCTCCAGGCAGCACTGCAGCCACCAAGGCCCCCATGCTGGCTGCAGGACCTGCGGCCATGGAGGAGCAGCACTTGCCACAGAGAGGCTGTGTGAGGCCAGAGGAGAGGGGTCTACTCTCTCTCCAATCAGCCGTGGGGGTCTCAAGGGAGCCTGGACGAGGACTGCCCATGGCACAGGGCAGAGCAGGAAAGGCTTAGGACCACTCTAGCAGTGCTCAGCAGACCCAAGTCAGCCCTGAGAGATGCTGGTGCTCTCACCAGTCACAGCTTATGACCCCGTGGGCACTCACAGCCCAGACCCTTCCACCAGTGCTAGAAAGATCGGATGCTGCTGGGCCACAAGCCACACTGTGAATAGACTGGCATGGAACTGATGCCATGCAGGATGGAGCTACCCTCAAGAGGAATCCAAACACGTTTATTCCAAGAATAAACCCTGCAGTCTGTAAGAGACTGTCCAACAGTCATGAGAAAGCAAGCTGCAGTACACAGACAAGAGTGTCCCTGGCAGGATTGCGCCCATACAGCCCCTCCACGTCACCTCCTCCACAGGGCCATCAGATGCATGCAGTCCAGGGTGGGCTCTGGGCTGAACTGTGCGGCCCCAAAACTCACGTGGAAGCCCTAAGCCCTATTGCCTCAGAGTGGGACTGCATTTGGAGAGAAGACCTTTAATTAACACTAATTAAGGTGATTAAGTTAAAATGTGGCCCTCAGGGTGAGCCCAAGTCTATCACAGCTGCTGTCCTTCTAAGAAGAGGTGATGGCAACAAGGACACACAGGGAGACAGGGATGCAGGACACAGAGGAAAGGCTGCACAAGGACACAGGAGGCCAGCTGAGGACAGAGGCCTCGGGAGAAACCAAGCCTGCCAATGTTGCGGTCTGTGGGCAAACACCTTTCCAATGTTTAAGCCACCCAGGCTGTGGTACTTTGTTATGGTTGGCTTAGCGGATTAATATGAAGGATTTCATTTTTGTTTCTTGCTACTAACCTAACCCTGTAAATTTTCATCACATGCCCATTCTATGAGAAGCCAAGCTGGAGGAGCGACATCATTCATATCACAGAATGATAAGGAAAATAAGTCCTTGGCCTGCTCCTGCTCCTGCTTTCTGTGTGTGATGCTGGCAGAGAGAGGCAGAATCTAATGCTATTAACCTAGATGATGCCCAACACTGTGCCAGATGCAGAATAAAGGCTATAACAGCACAGAGGAAAACACAATCCATCCTGAGATGCCAAGGAGACAAGGCGTGACTAGGCTTCAAGGTGGATTCTGAGAGGACAGAATGGGGAAAGTGTCCCTAGGGAAGAAGCAACGCCGGTGAAGCCAAGGGACACCAAGACACCCAGTTCCCTCCTGCACTAGGAGCCAGACAGCCCTCAGCAGGTTTGAGTAGTGGGTCAGAAACAACTGTGATAGGTCAGATGCAGCTGACTGGGGATCCACGCCATTAGAGGCCAGCAAGATACTCAGGATTTTAGAAAGTAAAGATTCATAAAAATGAAGAAGATAGATTAAGAGGCAAGAGAGGCAGAAACACAGCACAGTAATACAACCCTCCCGCACTCCCCACTGCCCAAGACCTGCCTCCTGAAGACAAACACAGCTTTGCTGTCCACCGCTTCCAAAGCAACGCTGACAACTGACGTCTCTGAAACTGTTAATCTGGGTGTGAGGAGGAGGTTGCGGGAGCCTGAAGTCCAGGCTGGGAACCAGGGTACAGAGCAGTGATGGATGAGTGTCACAATCCAGTGAGTCAGAAAGGGAGCTGAAGCCTGAGATCAAGTTCTGCGTTGCTCAGATCAAAGCCTGAGGCACCAACTCACCATGCTGAAGGCTGCTCTGCGAGAAACACTCAGTGCTGTTGGCAACGCCCACTTGCAGCCAGAGGCCTGTCACTGTCCCTCCACCCTCGCACGACAGGCCACAGGTTTCACGCATCCACAGCAAGGGAAGCCACGAAAGAGGTAGAAAAAAAGGGAACAGGGCTGGGGATTTAGCTCAGCGGCACAGCGCCTGCCTGACAAGCGCAAGGTCGTGAGCTTGATTCCTGGCACCGGGGGGAAAAAAAAAAAAAAAAAAAGAAGGGAACAAAGTCCCTCCTTGCTTTTAGCATCCCAGAGCTCAGGATATGGTGATGCCCAGGTGAACTTAAGAGACTTTCCAGGGTAATCCTGACTTCAAGGGACCTGCACCCCACACACTGACTTGAGATGCCTACTTTTGCATGGGCATGGGTCCTCCATACTCCTGAGGGCGCTCCTCCTGATGTGTGTGGATGAACTAACCCCATCTCATAACAAGATAGGAAATGTAAGTGCACAGCACAGGCCGCTGACGCTGACTTAGGGTGGGTCCATTGGTACAATTATAAACCAATGGAACACAGCAGAACAACCATTTCCAAAGAATGTTCTCCAGAGCATGCAGCCTTCTCCTTCCTCCCAGCCCACGGGCACTGTCTTCTAATTAGAGATGAAGACAGGAGAAAGTGACCACAGATACAAAGCATAAACGCCAGCAGAAAAGTCTAAAATGGTCTCGTGAGGTTAAGAGAAGAGAGACATATGAAATAGTATTTGCCTTTCTCATAATCTTTAATGCCTAGCATGCATCATATTTTTCTTCTCATCTGAAAAGTTAGAAGAAATAAAGGGGAAAGTATGTAAGTATGTATATACAGGATAGCTAACATAGTTGTACTACTGTCTTCTGTTGCTCTACAGAAAGGAACAGTTAATGATTACTTGTTTGATCAATCTTGTATATCTCTATTTGTTTTCCTGAGAAACCACTTTGAAGTTATCAATAAGTAATACAACAACCATGGTAAATTTCCTACAATGTGTCTGTAACTCTGTTTTGTTTGTATTATTCTTATGCTATTTTGTAAATGGATGGATGTCTGTTAATATGTTTTCCTTCTTTTATTTTTTAAAATAATAAAAAGAAATAAAGATAATGAGATTTATGAGAAATGGAACTGGAAGAGGACAGAACCACCTCATGAGAAAAGAGCGTAAGAAAAAGTTCAGGCATTTCAACACTGTGACCCTCAAAGCAGACACTCTGCAGAGAGGTCATAAAACCCAGTATAAAAGTACAGGGATGGGCTTGGGTGCATAGCTCCTAATAGAGTGCTTGCCAAGCATGTGCAAGACCCTGGGTACCAGCCTAGGACCACCAGAAAACAACCACACTGACAACCACAGTGAAGGGGGAGGCAGCGCAGCAGTAGCAGCAGCAATAGTAGCTTAACTCTTTCCCCTGACCACTGCAGTGCCTCTGGTGCTACCGGACACTTCACACCAAGGACCTGCCAAAATTCTATTAGTGACTACTTTTCCCTTAAATGAACCAGATATCAGCGGCCCTCTCTAGCAAACTTCCTGAGGAAAGTTACATTATGCCATGCAAAGGCAAACAACTTGGGCTTCAGTCATTGTGACACAACTTCTTACAGTGGCTACAATTGAAACATCAACAAATATACTTTGCTCTTGAATATTCTGAAATGGGTGTAAATTCTTAGTCTGATGCACTAAAATCTCTCAGCAAAAATGGGCTGGGGTATAGCTCAGCATTAGAGCACTTGCCCAGCATACATGAAGCCCTGGCTTTCATCGCTAGTACCAGCCCGTGCCACTGCCTCAACCTCTCAGCAAAAGAAACACTGCAGAACTAGTAACTCAAAACAGTAAGGCATACTTAGCAGCCCGGAGGAGAGAGGAAAAAACCTGCATGAGAAAGCCCTCACCTAGTGCCTTTGGTAGGCAGAGAGTAAATCCCTAAGACCATCACAATCCACTGCCATTGCAACCTGGGTACAACTTCTGATTCCATGGGAAACAGGCTTTCTGACCCCAGAGCAGGCCAAGTCACACAGAGGGCACAAGGTGAAATTTATGTAGTTCAGGTGTTAAGATGCAGACCTCAAGAGCTAATCCAGGCCTTCAAGACTGTCTCCATGAACTGGTGACTGATGCACCATGTTCATGTGAAGGAGATCCAAGTTAGGGCTCGGCCAACACATTCAGGCAAACCTCATGTGTCTGGACTTCCCAACCTCAGGTAGAGATTTTCACCCTCTAAGGCAGCTCCACCCCGGTGGCCACCAAAAGCCTCTGAAAACCTCTAGCCTCTGAATCTCTTTCTCTTGTGTATAAAATCTGTCCAACACCATCAAAGCACAAAACTGGAACTTAACCTCAAACCTGGAGTGGCTGCCCCTCAGCAGATAACAGAGATTTTTCTAGTAGGTAAGAAAAATAAAGAGAGAGAGAGAAAGACAAAGAAACACTTATTTTGAAGCACAGATAATGAAAAATGAAGGCCATTACCACATTCTTTCACAGTGAGTCTTGACAGAAATATACACCATCGAAGTCTAGTCCTTGGGACACAGAAAAATATTTTCCTAGCAAATTACTAGTTTAGAAATTTCTGAAATCCAGCCATGCTAAGCAAGCACATTCAATAATACTGTCATAGACAAGTTTGCTCACTTAATATATTGCTTTTATATTAGTTCTAACAAATGCAGAAAGACAAAGTAGATGGCCTTGAGCAATAGCGCTCTAATACATGCTGAGCCAAAAATGGAAAAAATGAAATAGCAACATAACCTGTGCACGTTAAGGCACACAGCTTTAATGTCTAATAGCCTGTCTTCCATTTCTTCAAAATCAAGCCAGAAACTCCCTCTAGCCACAGTCATTAATCAGTTCCATTGATCTTACCTTAAGCAAAGCACACAACTGTCGCATTTGATTAAAATAAGTAAATAAAATTTTACCTACTTAAGCCAGCACAGTCTAAGAGATCTATTTAGTGTCCTTACTTTCAAAATATTTTGGGTTTCATTCCACTTGTTTGTCCATTCCTTAGTCAATTCTTGAACCTAAAAAGAAAAATACACAGATGCCATCACTTCATGGAAAACATGAGTATGATTTTCTTTAGAAAGTTTCCAAATGATTTAAACCTTATGAAAAGAAGTACTATAAATGTTTCAAATTAGCTTGCAATTTCTACTCTGAAAAGAACCACCACCAACATACCTCACAAAAGCTAATCTCACCCTCAGCCTATGTTACACAAAGGAAAGAGCTGACAGAGATGGGCTTGGGTATAACTCAGCATTAGAGCACTTGCCCAGCATACACAAAGCCCTGGGTTCCATCGTTAGTACCACCCCCTGCCACTGCCTAAATCACTCAGCAAAGGAAACACTGCAGAGCTAGTAACTCAAAACAGTAAAGCATACTTAGTAGCCCAGAAAAGAGAGGAAAATTCCTGGATGAGAAAGCCCTCACCTAGTGCCTTTGGTAGTTGCCTAAAATTGCCTAAAGTTGCCTAAACTTGCCTCAAGTTGCCTACAATTTTACAAAAGTCTTTTTCATGCTATCCTTAACTAAAAGCAGCTTCCTTGGATTATTAACCGAAATTACAAGTTCAAGGATGACAGAGTCCGGGGGCTGGGGATTTAGCTCAGTGGCAAAAGCGCCTGCCTGGCAAGCGCAAGGTCATGAGTTCGGTTCCCGGTACCAGAGAAAAACCAAAAAAAAAAAAAAATAAAATAAAATAAAATAAAAAAAAGGATGACAGAGTCCCATTACACGGGTTAATTTTTCCTGACTATACTTGAAGTCCTAAGAAATACTGATTTACTTTCCTTTCTAATTAGATCTGGTGATTAAATCACCTTCAGTGTTGCAGTTTTCTTTTAGGAGATAATTTGCTTTTGTAACTAATTAATAGGGTTTATAAATCTCATTCTATTTTTTTTCAAAAGTGGTTCTTTAATTGACTCTCTTAGAAAAAGCAAAAAACTTTTGATAAAAATCAGCTTTTTCCAGTTGCCTATAACTTGGGAAAAACATCGCCAGTTGTTAAACACAGCATAGTTGAAAATTGCTTCTTAAAGTTAATGTAAATTTTCTGCTAGTTTCAGAAAAATTTTTAGATGATCCTAGTGATTAATTTGTTGAGAAGCAAAAAGTGATGCCTCAGTTGAGGTAGGAAAAAACAGCAATGAAAAATGCATTCTGCAGAAAGGAAATACCGAGGGCTGAAAGAGTAGCTTCAGCCAGGGGAGCCCCTGTTCTCTCGGGCCTTTACCTTTCTGCACCTGTGTCCACCTGCCCTCCCGCTGCCAGCAGCAGAGAGCATCCCACTTATACCTCCTGCTCCCCACTCTCACTGCTAAGAGGAAGGTGCTTCCCGGGGCAGCATGCAGGCAACCCAGACACAAGAAAGCAAGCTGCTGATGGCAAACAGAGGTCAGGAGGTGACAGTTTATCCACGCACACATCTCACACACCCATGCTCAGCCACACAACGCCCATTCACTTCAGCCCCAACTTAGCTCCAGTGGGGCTGGAGGGTCAGAGATTTTTTTAAATAATGATTCTTCTTTTACTAGTTACTAGTAACGAACTCTATTCTATTCTTATCTCTATTCAAGACAAAGGGGCTGGGGATTTAGCTCAGCGGCACAGCGCCTGCCTGGCAAGCCCAAGATCGTGAGTTCGATTCCTGGTACCAGGGAAAAAAAAAAATCTATTCAAGACAAAAATAAACAGGAGAGAAAGAGCCTCTGACCTTGCCTTGCTCATTGCTACAGCCTTGGCGAGACTACGCTGATTGATCTGAAGCCACTCACACTGCAAGCCCTCCTGAGACCCACCCCAGACTCTGGGTCACAGTGAAAGCCCCTGGTGATCAGGACTTGAGGTTCTGAAAAAGCCATCAAAGAGAGGCTATACTTGTGTTTCCTGTCCCCATAGAAGGGGAAAAGGCTGGCATATTAAACTTACTAATTTATACTAACCAGTGAACAGATTCTCACTGGAAATTTATCTTCTCATAACACAAACCATTCAACAAATAATTCTGTATTTCACCAACAGATACATTCTCAGAGAAGCAATGCACACCTATCAACCCTTTTCAAATTCGGTCAGGTAATTCCAGCTTTAAAAGTTACAAATATGCCTTGGATTTACTTTATCGCTGTATTTAAATCAAGAACACTCCATTTAGAACATTAATAAAATATGCACACATGTGATACTACCTCTAGCAATGTGATCAGATATGAAATTTATAGTCAAACAGATGGCAAACAATTTAAAAAGGTCAGCAAGAAACTAGACAAAAATTTAGAAAACGATATAAACAAGATAAGCAGTCATTTCTGTCACAGCATGTATAACACATTCAGATTAAAATGTTTACTGCTTTCTATTAACTTGCTAGATATTCCTAAAAACTATAATTGAGAGATAATTTAAGACTATATCCAAATATTTCATAGCATTCAAAATGAGAATCTGAAGCACTAAATTAGACAATTTCAGGAAAAAAATAAGGATTAAGAAATTAATGATTTTACTAATGCTATTATCAGCATATTAACTAACATAATTATCTAGGGCAGTGTCAACAAGTTCTTCAGAACTACGACTCCATTTATATCTTCCATGTTGTGTATTCTTGAGTTTTTACCAACAGACTCAGTTTTTTCCCTCATTGTGTTTTAACCATTTAGCATCATGGAAAAAAAAAAAAATTCACTCCAAAAATTTGTTCTTAATGTCTCTTTCTCTTGCCCAAAAAGTGTTTTATGTTTTCTGGGATTTTTTAATGGCATGGCACTCAGTTAGCCACAAACCTGGTTTTGAAAAAGCCCCACTCATACCTTGTGAATAAAGAGCACAAACTCTTGCCCTAGGACTCCTGTCCACTCTGACAGCCTGCATGATCCCACTGCCTGGTCAAGAGGGCTGCATGTGAACTCAACTGTGCTTGGTCATCCTGTGCCACTCAAATGACACTTACAAAGTCCCAGATAACATATTCATTACATAAAAAGCCACCTATTGTGCATCTTTAAAATGGCCATGAAGTTGATAACATGAAAAATTTAAAGAAGAATGTCTCAGACAAATACTAGAAAGTATAGACTTAAAAAAAATAGTGCACAGTTGGGCACAATGGTGCATCTGGGAGGCTGAGGTAGGCAGACCACAAGCTCAAGCCCAGCCTGACTAACTTAGTGACTTCATGAGACTCCTATCTCAAACAAACAAAAACACTACTTAGAAGGTAACAATACACAGTGTTTTAACTATTGTTATTTTCTTATTTCAGTGTTATGAAATTTTGTTTCATTCTTTTATAAAATAAAAAAACTTTTGAAGCTACAATGTTGGGACAAGCAGAAGAATCTATACAGGACAGAATTTGTGATGATGAACTAATCTTGACCAAAAACTACTAAGGCTCATAAAAAGGGGAGGTGGGCTGGGGATGTAGCTACTACAAAGGCTGTGGGTTCAACCCCCAGTACCACCAAAACAAAACAGAAAATTGCAAATGTTATGATTTTAAAAATAGAAGAGAATGGGAAAGAGAAGTAGAAAGAATTAAGATGTGTTACATACATGTACCAACTTTCCACAGTGAATGTAATCATGACATGCTGAAAATGTGTACTAATATTTTTTTTTTTAAATAACAAGTCAAACTATCACTTACTCTTGCTTCATTCTGCTGAAGTTTTTCCTCCATACTTAAAGCTGTGGGGGAGTCTAGGAGGGCAATCTAGAATTTAAACCATAAAAGACAGCAGCAATTAATAAACAGCAGCAACTAATAAATAGCAATAATGTGCAGTAAGGATTTTCCTATGATTTGAGTAAATTAACAAACTTCCACAGAAACTATTAGTGGTGAAAAGTAATGCCACATCCCCCTTCAAAAGTATCACTTGTCACCAAGTCTCTAGTCCATAGGATACATATCTCACAATATCCAAAACTGGGCCTTCCTGATAAGCCTACATTTGCTATACAAATCAGCAAAACAAAAGTCGTAACATAGAGACATTACCAACACAAAATCAAACACAGCCTAAATCCCTTGGTCTTAAGGACTCCTCTGTTTGAACATGCTGAGAATACAAAATCCAAAGTCAAGATGCCTAAGTCTTGCTCAACCACAGCTTCTGAGATGCACCCACTCTGAAACATGAGAAGGAAACTACTTTCACTGCTGGCTGGAATTTAGCATCCCGCATGGTGTACCACATCTGTCTATCCATTTCCTTACCCAGGCTGCAGGAATATGAAGACCTACATGAAATCAGGTTAGAGCAGAGAGGGACAAGTGGACAGGACAGGAAAGTGGAACCAGGCCTGGGCTCTAACTATACTCCCAACATTTCAGTTCTGACCACCTTTCTCCCTGAGACATCACAGAGAGAAAGCTATGAGGGAAGATCTCTCCCCACCCACCAGCAACCACTCTTTTCAGAGTTTGTTTGTAAACCTGCACTTATTCTAGTCATATGCAAACACGTTTTTGTTGTGTTTTTAAACATAAGTAAAAGAAAAATACTACTTTGACTATTCAATTGACAAGAGAAAATTCAGTTAAAAGTAATATACTTTTACACACACCATATAGACAGTCTATAATTTATCTTTGTACTCTCCTTTTAATATATATATTTTTTCCTAACCTTTTGCTTTACCAGTAATGCTACCATGACTATCTTTATACCAACTGCCTACACTGTACAGAGCTGTATCAATGGAATAAATTTCTAGAAGGGGATTTGTGAGTCCTCTACATATATGATTCTTTTTTAATGGTCAAGTTGTCCTACCTAGAAGCTCTAGCACAGTTTTCATTACTGTTTAACTTTCAACTTTTATTTAAACAAAAACATCCACAAGGCAGTCTTACTAGGTTCTGTTAAATGCCACACCTGTGTGCACAACAGAGAGAAGATAAGGTGGCTGGTGGGGAAGTATAGGTGTTTACTTATTGGTGACAGCCACAATCTTAATTCATTTTTCTGTTGGGCTGTGTATTGGTGAGCTTTCCTGTTGCTGGGATACAATACCTGACAGCCACAACTTAATGGAAGAGAGGTTTAATTTTATTATATTTTAAAACAATTGTATCCATGGTCAACTGGATCCGAGGAAGGATCATCATAGCAGAAGGGCATGGTGGAGCAAAGCTGCATAGTACATGGAGACTGGAATCAGAGTAGGGGGCCAATACCACAGAGCAAAGCACCAGGGACTAGACATAGATCCCAAGACCACACCTCCAGGACCTATCCAGACACACCCAAAAGTGTGCTCCACCAATATTCTGGGTAGATTCCAAAGTCAATCTAAGTTGACATTCTACCCTCCCATTCCACATTCTACCCCTTGTCAATTTCATACCCAAACACATCTCCTTAGACCACACTTAATGACCAAATTATGTTAATGACCAAAGTCAGTAAGTTAATAATTCCAACTAACATAAGACAACTATCCCACATATAATCAGAAATGCAATAATCCATTTTCAACAACAGTTCAGCATTTTTTAGAAGTCCGAGATTGTTTTGATACTTAAGGCAAACTCTTACCTGTGAATCTTTGTAAAAATAAAAAACAAGGTACAAAAGCACATTCCTATCTTAGAAGGGAGAAAGAAGACAGAAAACAAATGGACCAATGCAAGACTAAAATCCAGCAGGGCAAACATTAAGTCCTGTAGCTCCAAATCCCACATCTACATCCAGGGCACAGAGGAGTAAAATGTGAGTTCTATAGGGTTCAGGCAGCCCCATCCCTATGACCTTGCTGGCTGCAGCCTGTGCATCCTCTTTTCAACAGGCTTCACTCTTGGAATACAGCTTTGCCCAGCAGAAGTTCCATTTTCCTAGCATGTCCAACTTCCTGGGATCTCCACTGCACCTTTGGCTTCATTCCCACAGCTTCACACACTGCCCTCTCAGAGGCTCCTTGCCTGGATTCCCAGGCCTTTGAAATGTTGCTGAAATCCTTCCTAGCCCCACAACTCTTGCATTTTGCATGCCAGTAAAATCAGTATCATGTGGGCAATGCCAAGGTTGGCTGTCAACTCAATCAGCAGCGGGGCCCACTTGGATCATTGATAAAGCAGCCTCTGAGTGCCTGAATGACTGAGCACAGTGAAATGAATGCCGGGGAACCAATTCCCTAGACTACCCTTTTTAAGCAGATGTCCCAAGGACTCTGTTCTCAAATAAGATTGACACTTTAATAACTTTGTGATTTCAACAGATGGAGTCCTAATGATTTCTGAGGTGTTCTTGAGGCATCTTTTGTCTTGGCGCTGTGCAAAGTACTTGGTTTCTTTTTAATGGTGCTAATCTCCTCAGCAAACATACCTCCTTTGGCTCCAACTTTACACATGATATCTTTTGAGCCAAAGTTTAACTTTTCCAATGTTTTCTGCTCTGCCTTTTTGTCTCCAATTCTCTCTATACATCTGGCTCAAAGTCACCAGCAGCAGCCATGCCACAGCCCAAATTTTGGGCTGCTCTGAAATTTCATCTACCAGCTCTTAGTCCACTGTCTTTAATCTCCCATAGTCTTCTACAAAGTCTCAGAACATGGGCAAAATACAGACAAATTTTCTGCCAGACTTACACAAATGACCTGAAGCCCAACTGCCAATGGACTCCTTGTCCCCAACTAAAATCTCCTGAACCTGGACTTTACTGTCTGCATTCCCATCAGCACTTAGGTCTTCTGAGATTGGACCAGAATCACTTATCAGACTCTATAGCATTCTAGAATTTCTCTAGCCCAGATCTCCAAACATTTCCAAACTACCTGAAAAATAGTTCCTTAGGTACAGTCAAACAATGACCCCACTTCTCTAGTACCAAATCACATTTGCCGGACACAACAGACAATACTTACAACTTAATAAAAGAGAGATTTAGATTGGCTCATATTTCAAGGTAATCCAGTCCATTGTCAATTGACTCTGAGGCATAAACAGCATGGCAGAAGGGGAAGGTAGAGCAACACTGTGGCAGCCAGGAAATAGAGCAGGAGAAAAAAGCAAGGCACCAGAAACAGACTCCAAGGCCATGCCTCCATGACCCACCCAGACACATCCAAGGTGGATCCTACAGTCAATCAAGTTGACACTCCACCCTAACCATCATAGGTTATGATGCTTTTATCTTTTTGTAGATGTTGTTTTTTGAATAGGAAAGTAGTCTTTTGTTACATGAACTGAAACCTTCACCTACTTGGTATGTTACTGAGTAACTCCCATGCTATTATGTGGATATGTCACATCCTCACTTATTTCTGTCTACCTTTGCTCACAGAATGCAAAAGAAAACTTAATGTTTCCTGTGGTAAATGTGCATGGCTTTATAACCTGCTATTTCCAATAAGTATGTTGTGGTCTACCCTTATGAAAGTTGAAGTCTTTTCTGATTTTGAGAACTGCACTCTATCATAACAATGTGTTTCTGCATCACATTCTTTCCCCTTGGATTACCAGACGCCTTCATCCATTCTTACAAACACCAAGTAAGTGAGTTCTACTTTAAATATTAAATCAGACGTGTCCACCTTAAAACTTTCTACATAGAGATACTTCTGCTATTCAAGACTGGATAGGCCCAGATGAAAAAAATCAAGAATTCATTCTATTTTCATCTTCTCCTCTTCAGTATCTTCTTCACTGCTTAACTTCTGCTGTTTACTTCATTTCTGTATTAATTTATCTATTCACGAATACAGTCAAGAGAGATTAAGTCAAAACATTCTCTCTGCCAAAATAAAGGCAGAAATATGTAAAAAAGTGAAAATATAATAAAAGAGTAAACACTTGATGAGAAGATATTCAAATGTTCAGCTTCATTAATCCTCTGAAAGTGCAAAGTAAAATCATCCTGTGATACTGGTACATACTCATCAATATGGTTACAATGAAAAATGGACAAAGCCAAGCAATGGCAAAGATCTGCAGCAACTAAAACTGGCACCACCATATATTGAGGGCAGAGCAGAGCTGGTATAAGCAATGTTCGGCCGTATCTACTAAAACTGAACATACATATACCTCCTGACCACCAATTACACCCTTAGGCACAGACCTCACAGAATCACACCAGTATATTCACTGAAAGATATGCAGAAGAAAGTCTCTGGCCGCATGAATACTCACAAACAGGAAAATGTCCCTCAAAAGTGGAATGGATAAATGAGCTTGGAGAGGTGTGCATGATGGAATACAAAACAGCAGTGAGGGCAGTGACCAGCAACTATATGCAGCAATGCAGAGAAACTCACAAACACAAGGCTTTGCCTCTTGAGGTCAAGAAAGTGCTACCCTTGACAGGAAAGGCAAGAAGGTCCTGGACAGGAATTTTAGGGATGCTGATGATACTCAATTTCTTAAGGCGGGTGCTGGGTAAGTGGGTGAGTTAGGCATGCAACTTGTGAAAATTCACAGAATGATACATATTCTGTATATTTATATAATACTTCAAGAGAGATTTAATATAAACATATATAAAAACTATCATATCTATTTATACAATAGAAAGAGCAAATACATGTCAGAATCTTCTTTGTAAAATTGTGCTTTTAAAATTCTGATGCATGACCATTTCCAGTGACGAATACATAAAATTATTAAAAGTAAAAGCTGACTTTCATTTAGCTGTGCTTAAATAAATAATCCTAGACTGGTACTCTGAGCAACATTCTCAATGTACCAGGGCAGTATTTGGCAGAGAATCTTTCAGGAATACAGCAATGTCCTTAGTAAGATTTATATGGGGATTTTTAATGAGTATTTAAGAACACCTGCTTATTTCATTAAGCATTGCAAATGCAATTAATTTAGGACAAGCCTCTATTATTGTCTCACAATAATTTATAGCCTCAGAATAAGATAAATCATTTTAAATTCAATGCCCATGTTCATTATAGTGTAGATATTAAATTTATCAAAGACTTTTATCGTCAGTATGTTGTAAAATAGACTTTCCCATCCTTACCCCCAAAAAATATTAACAAGAATACTCCCTTTACTACAGCAGTAGTACTGGGTCATGAAAGTAGAAAAAAGATCACAAAATGTAAGGCAAAATGGTGACATATCAATTCTGCCCAAGACATTTGTAAAAGAAAAAAAAGTCTGAATAAATTAAAGTTTTTTTGGCTGTGTAATGAGGCTTCTCTCAGTTTAGTTGAAAAAGATTGGTCTCTTGCTTTTCCCTTTATTCTCTTAACCTCATAAAAGATTAAGTACAAGATGCTATACCTACAATTTTCCAACTATTCTCCTTCACATATAATACTTTGAATGATACTATGAAATCATCTTTAAGTGCTTACCTTAGATAATAATGTTATTAAAAGACTGAAAAAGGATCCCGGTAGCAAAATGTATAAATAAAATTATTTCTAGTGTTCAGGTGATAAGTCAGTAACATCTCATGCAGTGACTACCCATGCTGACAGCAACTTTTGCATCCAGGAAGCCCCATATCATAGATAAAAAGTCTGGAAACCTTTTTAAGCACAGTGAAGGATTCCTATTGATTGCTGTCTGCCATCTTGCCAGAAAGGACGGCCAAGCGTATTTCAGGATGCAGGAGACTCCAGGAAGTTTCTTTTCCTGTCAATATTTTCATAGACCAAACTACTTATGGGATGTCAAGAGCTTCAAGTGCCACAGATGCCTACATGGAAAGCACTGCTCTGCAACTACTTTGTACTTAAAGAAGTCTTTCTTTCAATGATACTCTTAAAATCATGTGTGGGTTACAAAAACATCATAAAATGTATTTTTATTTCCAACCCAAGTCTAACTTCACCTGTTTAAAAAGGCATTCTTGACTCTCTTTCAAGGGCAGTCTCTCTTCTAGCCCTACCAGAACTGCATGCGCACTGTGTACACAGAACATAACCGAATGTACACTATCCACACTATAAGAAAGTTAACTGCAAAAAAAAAAAAAAAAAAATCACAAAATAAGCAGGCTTCTTTTCTAGTATTCCAAATGACCCTGAAGAAAGGCCATCTTAATAATCAAATTGGACCCCAGGGAAAGCATCACAGCCAGGCCACAGGTATCACCTCACATGTGTCACTAAGTCACTAACCACCTCTGTGATGGGTGATTTGGAGATTTAAAAAGGTATTCAAAGAAGCCTTTCATTCCATTAAGACACATTTTAAAGTCATAAAATGCATGGGCAGAATTTTAAATATTACTCTGAGCATCTCAGTTTCTTGCCACTGATGGAAATTATGCTGCTAATCCTATGCATGCTAAATTTCTGTTCATAATTGATAACTATTAGATAGTTAATCATTTTAGGTTTAGTGGATAAAATCTTCCTCGCAGAGCACAAAATGAATGCAAAGGCCAATAGAAGGCTGAGGTAAAAGAGAGACTGGTTAACTCATTTGAAGCTTTACTTAGCACTTATTTACTTAAATCAATACCAGGAGATAATTGTCTCATTAAGATCTAGAAATAGATGCCGTTACTCAAAGAAAATTATCCATAAATCTCAGAAAACTCCAACCTGATTCCCTTGAGCAAGCAGCGTTTTCAGCCTGGCTATTTCAGCTCGCAGCTCACGGATAAGTTTGACGTTGGCATCCTCATTAATGGTAGGCTTGTTGATGATGTTTTTGGCTCTATTTGCATAGCGAAGAGTACTTAGGGTTTCTCCATAATTGACATCAGCAGGTGAAATGGCTGTGAAGAATGAATGCAAAAAATCATTTATCTAGCACTCCATGTTTCATTTAACACAGTTGGTTTATAATTTAAAAGTCAGATTAACCCCAGGTCATTGGATAAACTAAATATTCATTGCAACAATAATGAATACTAAAATTTTTCTAAGACTCATAGGAAAGTATATTCACTATACCAAACTAAATGTTATTCTGCTTTTCTCAAGGCAAGAATCAACCACCTAACCAAGTTTAAAATAAGATGTGAGACACCTCACCCTAGTTAAGCAGTTTTCTCAGTTCCAAATATAAAAAGAGGATTTCAAGACTATTTGTACTTCTCAACATTAGGCAGGAATTAAAATACTTTTAAAATTTCAGGCTAAGCTTACCATCTGTAAAAATCTAGAGCATGACAATTTTTAAAAGAGTCAATAGACTAGTTAAGGGCCAGGTGAGGTGGTGCACGCCTTAATCCCAGCACTTGAGAGGCTGAGGAAGGACTGCTATGAGTTCGAGGCCAGCCTGAGCTAGAAAGTGAGTTTGAGGCCAGCTTGAACTGCATGTAATAAAGCCCTGTCTCAAAAAGACAAAAAAAAAAAAAAAAATAGACTCATTAATTCTTTCATTTGGGAAGGTTTTAATCTCACCCCCTACTACCACCACCAAACTTCAAGGCTGCGGTGAGTCACAATTCCGAATGGAGCTTGTACCCCAGGGAAGACCTCTGGCCTCCTAGTTAACCACATAGCACAGGTACAAGAGGGACAGGGGACAGAAGGGGAAGAGCCCAGACAGGAAACAGAAAGAAAGGGCAGGATGAGTGCAGAAGAAGTCCTAGGTTCTCACCAATAATTATCTGCACTTTCTATTTTTCTCTCTTCTGCTTCTTTTAGTTAATGAGTCAAAATCTGAAAATAAGGTATGTTACTCATCACTACTTACTGGTTTTTTCACTCCAATTTTACTTTAAATGCCACAACTACTGCTTTAAGTAGAAAAAGTTGGCTTTTCATTCATGTTCCTATAATGACTTCGTCCTATGAGGCAGTGAAGCTGAGTGTTTCCACCACACACTTCACACAAAGGAAAACGCGCATCTCTGCATGTGATCACAGCTTCCTCAACAGGGCAAGGGCTATGTAACAGCTAATGACACGAGCTGCAAACTGCATATGCTGAGTAACTAGAAAAACCATTACATTTTGAAGAAATAAAAGGTGCTAGATCCTAATGAGACACTTCAAACTTAAATATTTACAGTTAATTCACAGGAAACATTGGATGCTTAGGAAAATAACTGAAAACTCTTACTGGCAATCATGATAGTTTTAGAGTTTCCTCCAAGGCTGTCTTTCAGCAGCCAAGTCAAAACAGAATCCCTGTAAGGCACAAAAACTTGCTTCTTCTTTACAAGAGGGTTTGTTGCATCCTGAGATAAATCAGCTGTGGGGAAGGAGGAAACAAAGGAGAAAAAAAGATAATTATTAAAATTTCTCTTTCCCCTCCAATTCTGCTTCAAAAACCCCTGAGGATGACGTTATTGCCTATCTGCAAGACAAACATTAAACATAATTGGTTCATGCTAATATAGTACCCGAGGAAAAGGCTGCAGGAGGCCAGCACACACCTACCTAAGGCAGAAATGACATTTCCCAGAGTCACAAGGGACTTGTTAATGTTCCCTCCTTCCTTCAGCCGGACCCCCGTGGCACCGGTGGCATCCGCACGCTCACTTCCAGCAAGATCAACTAAGTGGATCTTACTCACAGTTTCACATGGCATTTCAGAGTCAAACTTTGCCTGTGGTAAAATATAAAAGTAACACTGAAGGGATACAAAGAGCCCTCATGCTGTTTATGATGCAAATTCTAATTACTTTTCCCTCCATGTTGAGATCTCTCAGGATGGACCTTTTTCATTTTGTTATGATGCTGCCCTTCATATTGATTATAAAAACTTCCAAAATTAAATATAATACAATAAAAGTCTGCCATGTGTGATTCTTAAGCCTTCTGAAGAACCATCCCACTTCTGCAATCCTCCTGTCACAGTCAACAGCGCCCAATGGAGCCAGAGCATGGCAGGATATGAAACCAAGTGCTAAGGGACACTCAAGAAAGCAGAGTGTAAGTAAACAAGCAGGGAGCTTCGTGTTCATCTATAATCCCCAGCATTCCAGCACAGAGGCGCTCCAAAACAAGATAAATATAGACAATTATGTAAAAATCACTTCACCATTATTCGATGTTAAAACATTTTGTCTCACATTTTTTTTAAAAATGTGAAATACTAAATACGATACTCTGCCTTTGAATTCTACCCACATTTTAGCACTAACCAGAAAGCAGGAGGAAAACGGGTAAGTGTGCCTAAGTCAAAGCAAAGTCTACCAAAGAGTAAAGCTGTGGGGATGTACAGAGCAGGATTCTGATGGAGCTTAGAGAAATCTCCCATTTTCCTGCTAAGCCTCTTCGTTAATAAAATGCAGTCTTACTATTTCTGATGTGTTCAACTGTCAAAGTGGGTGAAGATGCCTCCAAACTCCTAACTCACGCTATGGCCTGACAGGAGCCTCCTTTTTGTATTTGTGAGTTCTACTTCTCTGCACCCTTGATCACTTCCATTCAGGTGTAACATGTTGTCTACCATCTGATCATATTGAATTCTTACATAAGAACTTGCAGATGCTCGACGCCCTGTAATCTCACCCTAATAATCATAATCGCCATGGTAGGGTGAGCTCCACGGAGTGATAACATACTGCACAGATTCCTCACCTTGGCCTCCAGCTGGACTGACTCACATTCCATCATGTCCCACGGGGCTAACGACAATGAAAACTCTTGCTTAATTAGACGCAGAGTAAGGTGTTTCTTTGTTTTCTGTGGTTTTTTTGTTTTTTTTTTTTTTAATGTCTAGAGCAAGGTGGAAGCCTGCTAAATATTTCTAAAGGGTACACCTCAGGACATTTAAAATTACTGTGATTGTAACCATCATGAAACTCTGCGCACAGCACATGTTCCGCTCTAATTAACAAGATAATGACAGCCAGTCACCTTTGCTTGCTGTGAGCCTGGTTCAACAATGAGGACTCCTCAGCAGATGTTAATCAGGAAGTAAGGACTGTAGGGATGGAGCCCACCAACACCCCTTACCCCTCAGCTGCCCCTACCTGAGTGAACTTGATGGTGAAGATGGCATGAGACCTGCTACTGACATCGTTCATCCCAGTCGCTGCTGTGGTCCGGTTGATATTTCCCGCATCCATCAGTTCTTCCACATCACCATAATTCTGTACTAAATGTTTGGATAAATCTGGAAGAAAAAAAAGGAAGGAGTGAAGAAATTTTCCCATTACACAGTAAATGGAGTAAGAAACTCCTCTTGATAAAATAATGCATGAATTATTCTCTACAAATCTGCTGAATATTTAAAGACTTGTTTCTGTAGGGTGATGGTATACACAGTAACAGGCTACAGTTGGGACAAGTTGGTTGGGCCTCAGTTGCCTCATCGGGTAATGTGTAGCTACATAGATACCGTATTTAGGACATGCTAGGTACTAACATAAACCTCTTGGCATTAATCACAGTACAAGAAGAAAAAAAGCACTACTTTTAAGCAAAACGTAAAGGCCCCGCCCCCATTCCATACCAGCAGTTAAAGTCAGGGCTTTTGCACTGAGCTACATTCTTAGCCCTCTTTTGTTTTACTTTTATTTTGAGATAGGTTCTTGCTCAGTTACTGGAATCCAGGCTGGGCTTGAACTTGGGATTTTCCTCCCTCAAGGTCCCAGGGCACTGCAATTATAAGGGTGCAACACATCTGGCTAAAAGCATATTTTAAAGGCTTTAAAAACTTTTTAGAGCCACCAATATTGGAGTACACCAGTAATTCCAGCTTCTCAGGAGGCTGAGCAATGAAGATCACAAGTTTCAGGTTAGTATGTGGTGAGCTTACCTAGCATGGGTGAAGCCCTGGATTCAGTCTCAGTGCCAGAAAACGCAGATTTTTGGAGCATTCATTTACCTCTCAGTCCAAAGCTCCACTGGGGAAGGGGGCCTCTACTCCTCTCCTACAGTGCCCTCCCTTCCCTTTTGTGATAGTCCTATCAACTTTGCTACATTGAGACATGCTAGGAAATTAGCAAAGCACACTCTACGTGTATCTGTGAGGCAGAACCATGGTGGAAGGGCAGGATGGGGGAAAGCTAACCTCAGGGCTGCCCAGAAGCAAAGAGAAAGGAAGAGCTTGTGCTGCTGGCCTGAATGTGGGCAGCACCACCCAATAAGCTAAAGACCCAGGTGGAATAAAAGTAGGGAGACAAGGAAGCCTTCAGTACAAGCTCTCCCTCTCTCTCTACTTCTGGGCAGCCCTGAAGTGAGCTTTCCTCCATCCTGCCCTTCCACCATGGTTCTGCCTCACTCCCAGCCTAAAAGCAACACAGCAAAGACCATGGACTGAAAGCTCTGAAGCCATGATCCAAAATAAACCTTTCTTTCCTTTAAATTGTTTATTTCAGAGTGTTTTAGCACAGCAACAAAAAGCTGAGTTACCCATCTTCTGTCAGGCCATCAGGTGTTAGTAGTATCCGCATCCCTTCTAAAAATAACCCATAAATGTGAAGGGAATGGCATACACACAAAACTACCTTGTCCCCTTTCACACAAATGGTAACATCTTAGACTAGGAATGAAGCTCAGTGGCAGACCTCACACCTTGCCTGAGATCCAGGAATTCAAGGCCCTGACTTCAATGGCCAGCACCCCCCAATAAAGAAAAGGAGCATACTATAAACATTCTTGTGTGCCCTGGTTTTGTTTTTTTTTTTTCAAATGCAATGATATGTTACAGAATAATCTGGGACTGGGAGCGTAGCTCTGTGACAGAGTGTTTGTCAGCATGCACAAGCTGGGTTCTATCCCTAGCACTCCAATCAATCAATCAATCAACCAACCAACCAACCAACCAACTAAAAAGAATATTGTATACCACCTAAGGTCACATTTCATTCATTTTTCAGGCTACAGAGCCTTCAGCTGTAAGTATGCACCATAACCAACTTAACCAGTCTCCTATTGAGACTACAGAAGTTGTTTGCATTTTGTTTCCAATAACAATGCTTCTAGGTACAAATAACTGACTACACAGATCTTTTCAAATATGTGGGAATGTCTCCACAGAAAAAATTCTTAGAGGCAGAACTGCTAAAAGAAAACATATTTGAAATGTTTATACACACTGCAAAACTGTCCTCCCCAGAGAGCAAAGTACACCCAGCAGGAACAATACAAGTACTGACCTCCCAACGCTGTCTTCCCACACTGACTTATCCCCCTGCCAAAGATGGGTGACAAACGTCATCTTGAGGCACTTTTATTTTGCTTGTCTCTTATTATGTTTGAGTATTTTTTCCTTCTAAAAATCATCAGTAATTCCGTTTTCATAAACGATGTAGTCACACCCTTTCTCCATTTTTCTATTTGGTTGCCTGATCTGTTTAAATATTAAATTATATTAAATATTTATATTAAATATTTATATTTAATATAAATGTTTATATATTTATATTTAATATAATGTTTATATATTAAATATATTATATATTGCCTGAGCTCTTTATATATTAGGGAAATTAGTCCTTTATCTGAAACATACAGTAAAAACCTCTCCCCATTTTGTAATTAAGCTTTTAACTTTGTCTACAGTGTTTCTGCCAAGTGTTAAATTCTGGGGTTTTTTTGGTTTTTTTAACCATTTCAAATTTAACTTCTTTTCTTTTCTGGCTTCTGAGATTTTTAAGTAAGTTTTTAAAAACATTCCATCCTCCAGGTTTCTGGGAACCTGTGGTGTCTTCTGGTTATTATTTCATTTTTTTACATTTAAATCTTTGATTTCCTTCCATTTCCCCTGGTGTAAAATCTAACCAATGACACCAATTTATTTTTCTCCCAGAAACATAACAATCCATATTACCCCAACATCTGAATAAAAGCTAAATACCTATAAGTATGAAGGTCAGATTCTCAAGGGCTTAGCCTGTTTGATTACTGTGTCTCTTCACACACAGTTTTACAAGTTCTAACATTTGATAAGGCAATTAAAAGGCCAATATGATAGCACATGATGTTAGGCTAAACTCTATTAACAATAATGCCACCAAACAACTATGCTACTGAACACCTTATTCAACGGATGGAAAGGAAAATGCACAATTAGAAGCTTAATAAACTACAGATAGGATCTTACTGGTGCACCTGATTTCATAAACCCAGCCACTTCTCCAATGAAACACACATGAAAGACACTACGCACCGGAAAGCATGTTCTCCATGTGCAACTCCTGCCAACCACCCAGTACTCAGTTCCTTCTGCAGAGTAAAGGAGATCAGCTTCATCTCAAGGATAACCTTAAACCCAGCCTATTTTTTGAAACAATTAGCAAGGGCCAATCCTTTACCATCACTATCACTATGGGTGGTACTCTGCACAAATGACTGTGCCACAATGAATCTATCACAATGTATCAGCTGAGAAGATATCCTGTAAGTTTTTCTTAACAGACAAGAGCTCCAGAAGGCTTTTCTTGCAATACAGTATCAGTAACACTGCACTGCTAAAATGTAATGCCCTGAAAGAGACAGGTACAAGCGTACTTACCTTGCCCGAGAACATCAGAAAACACATCGCCAGAGATTTCATAAAGCCAGGAGAAATCTCTGGCAAGGCTCACAAAATCAGTGAATGCCTAGTGAGGTATGAATTCATTAAGTGAGCACTATGTAACAGCAGCACATGCCCTTTTTACTATAATAACATTCTGAAGGAAAAGCAATTTTTAAAATCTCCCCATTATGCTACTTTTTTTTAATTTGAAAGCTTCATATTTACACAAAGGATAAGACTGTGAAATATTCACTCTTACCCTCAACATAAGGTCCTTCTTTTGGATGCTCTCGGACTCTCAAATTGAAGGTTTTAGATGACTTCCGCCTCAGCAGGTCTCTCACATGTTCATTGTAAATTTCTAAGTAGCTGAAAATTTTAAATAGAATTGAATTTAGAAGCAGAATTTTGAAACCTTCTTCAATTACAATAACAGCAACAGCACCCACAACAGCACCACACAGTGTGGGCAGTGGCTGTACCACATACGATACTCAGCACTAGAGAGTATCTCAGGTAATCCTGACAGCAGTCCATCTGCAAGGCCTTCCATTAGCCTCATTCTATAGGTCAGATAGACAAGGGGTGGAGGGGCGAGGCCTCAAGTGATTTAAGTAACTTATCCAAAGCCTACAAAGCCACTGAGCCCACACAGCTGTGAAAAGCAGGAAGTGACACATTCATCTGCAAAACCACTTAGACTGGCTGCCCACAAATGTTTACTTCAAAGAACAGCCAGACTTTTTATAGGTTAGATTTACAGTGATCCTACCAACACAAAGAGCAACACAACCATTCCTGAGCCAAAGGAAAGCAAGTAATTGGCATACTCGGTTGAAGTCAAAGGCTCACCCCATTTAAGATAAACATCAAATGTTACCATTTCTGACCAAGCTATGTTATTTCCCATCCAAACTGTCCAAAGAAAGGCATTGAAAACCTATTGTTTTCAGTGTTATTCCCAACACCATAAATACAGAAGAGGAAAGGGCAGGCACTGCTCAGAAACCTACAGGCCTCACCCCTCCCTAGTAGTAGAGTGCTCTACACACAGCCTGGGTTCCAGTAATGCTCACACCTGCCCGGCCATGGGTCCTACCTGACTTCAGTCCGAAAGGAGGCTGCATCCCATCGGGTGGTTTCATTTATCCGACTGAAGAGCCCTTCGCAGATCCGAGGTATTAAGCCCAAATCACCCTGTAAGGAAAAGAAGGAGTGATGCAGCTGTCACTGGAAATGAAGTCAACCTGTGACTAAATGTGCATGTTGCTGGAGAGGACACTGACTCAAGGGGACTGCCAACTCCAGTCCTATCACCTAAGCCCCAGATATACCTCTGGTCCCCCCAGGACCGCTTCCTCCTCTCTGACACAGGAGAATGGTGCCTTCTCATTCCTACATCTTGAGACTTGGGTCAAATATGATTACGAGCTGTTGTTTAGCTAAATCATGGCTTGTAAGGATCAAGAGACTTACTCTCTAGCTATCAAACAAGACAGTCTACAGTTGTAGAATAAATGTTTCACCTAGCTGATTAAACAACCAAATAAGGGAAAACGTACATTAGGGGAAAAAGAAACACTAAGAAAACCTTTGTAAGTCCTTAAGACAGTTAATACCTGTCTTAAAACTTAGGAGATAGGGCCACATTAAAATGTGATACATCCCTCCTCTGGCCTTCCAAGAAAGGAAGATTTTAATAGTACATCATATCAATTATGCAGTGAGGGTGTAATAGTTAATAAACATGTCTCATTCAGCACTAGCAGGCTGGTAAACCTCAGAGTGACACTCAAGATTAGGCATAGTGTTCTCATTAGGAAACCAAAACTTCAGAACCTCAAGCCCCTTCCTACAGTCACCCAGCTCCCCACCCAAAGAATAAAACAAAAATCACTGGTCTGGGAGATTTTTTTATTCTTTATACTACTCAGTCAGTGCAAATCCCTATCAAGGAAAACAGCCTTTCACCGTATTTTTTTTTTCACCGTATTTTTGTTTCTTATTTCAAAATAAATAATACCCAAGAGTACTTACCTATAAGGCCAGAGAAATAACACTTATAATTTATGATACTTCATAAATGTTTGACTTACATAAAATATCTTCTAGGGAATCAACAAATCTAAAAATTTCATTTTTAGAGATCTCATTTCCAAAGACACAGTAGTAGGAGAATAAGAAAAGTAATAATAAAAGACAAATACAAAACTTTTTTTTTTTTTTTGGTACCAGGAATCAAACTCAGGACCTTGCGTTTGCCAGGCAGGTGCTTATGCCACTGAGCTATACCCCTGGCCCACAAAACTCTTGAAATGATCTGCTCTTCCCTGTTTTTCAGCATCAAGAGTATACAGCATGATACTGCCAGACTTCGAAATGCCTGTGCTGAGGAAGCCAGGTTCCATGCCCAGGGACAACTCCAGCGGGGAAGTCCTGTTCCCCTCTAACATGCTACTGCCATGAGCCAGTAAGCCTGCAGCCAGAACACAGTCATCCGTACCTGCTGGCGGGCAGCGCACAGTGGCTAGAACATGCTGCGGGCCAGCCAGTCACTGAATCGTGCTTTCACTGCAACTTAAGAAAAATAAAATGCACAAGCGCCCTCTAAATCTGGAGAAAACAGAACATGGTAAAGTTCTGCCGTAATATCTACTTCTGACTCCTCCATACTTTGGGACAAGTGTAACATTGATGCCAGTTAATTTACATAGATTAACTACTAAACTGTACATATTACATTTATAACCATGTAATTCTGTATGAGTTTATAACTCAACTTTTTTAATGTTTTTGTTGAATTTATGTAATACCTTTCCATCAAAAAGTTTGATTTATTTTGCACATTTTTCTTGGGGAAAAATGTTCTGAATTATTTTAAAAAGAACAGACTTTGGTAATTTTATTCAAACCGTTGTGTTGGCAGAAAAGGAGAATAAATTACTTGTGGGCCCAGCATACTTTCTTGATAAGATTATAAGGCCTTTAAAAACGGAAAATGAACTGGGAGTTGCATCCATTATTCATGCTTATAAACTTAAAGCAATTTCTAATTTAAAATCTCTCAAAGGAAATTTAGTCCAACTTATTACTTTTATCTTATTACTAAAAAAATGATCAGAACATGAAAAGCAAGTTAGTACAGACCAAGTAGATAAAAGAGACAATTCTATCAGGCTAGAGAAAAATAATAAGATTTCTTCCCACGCAGCATAAACAACGTACAGAATCTCCCATCATAGTGTATGACTTTCCAGATCCAGTTTGCCCATATGCAAAGACACAAGCATTATAACCTTCAAATGCAGATTTCACGACATCTGTGCCCAGGGTTTTGAAAACCTGAAAGTCAGAAAAACACAAAAGATACTGTTACTATGGATTCCAATAAAAGTACACGCAAAGTTGGCAATATTCTTGAATGCTACTTTCTTCTTTTAAAGACTGTACCATATAAATAAATCACTGTGGAACTGTTAGCAACAGAACATGCATGTACCCCAGTTTCTAATCCAAGGTAAACTTTCTAAGCAAGACCATCCTCTTTCCTACTTAACAAAATAGTTCCTAAAATATAAAAATGTAACCATCCTCTTTCCTACTTAACAAAATAGTTCCTAAAATATAAAAATGTAAACAAGGCAAAGTGACACTCAAATCTACAAGATGATGATTTACTATCCAGAATCATAAAGCTGTTCATTCTATCAGAAACTAAACATTCAAAGTATAAAAGTCACGCTACCCAGCAACTGCTGTGTGGACCATGCCGAACCCAACCTCCCATTTCAAGGGCCCATGATTCATCCAGGTCTTTGAAGGTTCTGAATGATGGGTGGGAATGGACCAGGGCGAAAAGGCTGGGCTCCCCGTGAGGAAGCCCGGTCACTTTCTCTTGTTTGGGTATATACCCAGGACGGAGAGCAGCACAGGAGGCAAGCTGTGTGGAGCTAGGTGTTATACCTATAACAGCTTAAGTCATGTTGGAAGCACTGAGTAATTGCAATTTTGAGAATAAAAGAGGATGAAATAGAAATACTCCAGGGAGACAATAGATATAAATGAAACAAATCAATATAGGAGGTCATCCTTGTCATAACCAGTTGGAAAGGAACAAACAAACAATTACCCCCTGTCCTCTAAGCCCAGCACACAAAGTTAACATAAAATATCTCTCTGCTCCAAAAGTTGGAACATCAGCAACGAGAGAGATGTCAAAGACATCTCAGGAGTCATGCTCACAGTCAGAGGCAGGAAGACGCGAGGGAGGGGGCACCTGGTGGGGACCACTGCAGGAGCCGTTACTCTGTGAGTGAAACCCCACTACAAAATCAGGAGGCCAGCTGGATCTACCAGCAAGTAACCTCCAACTGTGACTGTTACACTGGCCCCACAGAAGAATCAAGCTCAGGAATCCCATGGGCCAGGCCAGTAATCTAGCCCAGTGAAATGGGAATCTGAGGAATGTGAACCCAGAAAGCAGTTCTTTTCAAATCTTCCAAGAAGTTTCAAAGTTCAGCAAAATTGACAAACCTGACCCCCTCAGCACTACACTAAAAAAAAAATCCCTGCTAATAACACATCTATAAAAGAAAACAACAACAAAAAAAAAAAAACCACGCTGTCGTCCAAGGATGAGAGAAGAATACAGCCAACAAGACTTTCTTTGGTTTTCTTCAACACCATCTTGCTTAGACCTTGGTTCCTCATTCTCATCAGTAGAAGGTTTACAGACCACCATTTCAACTGAGTCACTTCCATGAATGGCCAAAGCCACTCACTCTAGGTTAATTTTTACCCAATTCATCTTTAGGAGGTCTTTTTTTCTGATCTTATTCCTGCACTCTGATGACTTGGTTCCCAACTATAACAGCAGCTCACATTTACTGGACACTTTCCAAGCCCCTTCATATGTGATGGATTAATCCTCATAAAAGTACTATTAGGCTGGTGGCACCACTGGACCTCAGATGAAGCTGAAAAGGAAGTGGAGAGAGCCGAGCATTTACCACAGGGTGGCAGGGCTCACTAACTCCGAAGCCCTTATTATATGCTCTCATCCCACAGCCACAAGGCCCCAGTCCTAACTGAAAGGTCTCCTCCTCACACCTCTATTCTGAAGCAGAAGCCAGAATCCCAGGGAGAGGCAGAACTGTAGCCCACCCACTTGCAGTTTATTTTTCACCACTGTGTGTGGAATATGAGTAAAAACTCAGATTAAACAAAACGCAAAAGTCAAGTATCATTTTTACAATTTCACTGGTTAGGAAAAAGAGCCTTCCAGAAACTTCTTAGAGAATAAAAGAAGGATCTGGGGCTAAAGCCAAGTCATGGGAAATATTTTTATTTAAACCAAACCTGAAGGTTTCCACAATGAAATTATTCTCCAATATAAAAATCCATACCCACTATTTCATTACTATTTCAGCAGAAAGCTAACCTAGGAAGTGTTCTGACAGACTCAAGGGATCAATGGGGGCACGGATGGGGGACATGACGTCAGAACAGTCTAGAAAGTTCAGGTCTAGAGACCTAGAAAGCAGGCTGGGCCCAGTCTCAGCTTCAAGTATCCATAATTAGCATGGGACCAGAGAAGCAATAGGCACAGGTGATCCCATCTTGCTCCCACCAAGAACTTATTTAGTACCTGCTACCAAGGAGAGGACAGTCCTAAGAAACCTACAACCACTGGCATCAAATTTCTGTCAAAATCCCTCACCTGGCCTGCCTAGCCAAAGTCACTTTGCTGCCCGTGGAAGCACAGAGTAGACTTTACAGCTGATTTCCACAGTAAGACAGGCACCAGGGGCCTCCCTGAGGGGAACCACTCAGACGCTGCTAAGGCAAAGGCTCTCTGATCCCACTTGGAACAGGAAATGTTAGGTATCAGGTTTCTCCAGAGTTGAATTAAGGAACAGGTTCTGTGAGATCAAAGTCTCCCTCTGTAGTTTTGAAGAGCCATTAAGAAAATTAGATTTTACTAAATGGTCTTTAATTTACATGACTGTGAATTTAAATTGCTCACTGATTTTTTTTTTCTAATTGTAAAATAATGGTCACCTCACCTACTATTTGTTTAACATCAAGGGAAAGTGGACTTGAACTATAGTAATAGGAATGACATTTTCTCAACGTATTCTTTACGTTACACTGTTTGTGTTTTGTTTTTTTTTGGTTTTTTTTTTTTTAAAAAAAAAAAAAAGATTAGCCAGAGAGTTATCAGAGTCTTTCCCTGATAAACTGCAGGTACACGATCTGTCCACTGCTTACTTTCTGTGCCTAAGGGGACAGCAGGACAGCCATGCTGTCAATATTCACACTGAAGCCCCTTTTTGTAACAATAGGTATTACAATTAGGGATGAAGGACGAACTCTTCACTAAATATTGTTGAGAAAGATATCTTCCCATATCACAAGGGCTTATTAATAAGTGGTTCTACAACACTGTGTTTAGGGACACACCTCAAGGCTGTTTTTAGATCTGCAACTTAATGGAATCACATTAGGTTACTCCCTGAAGCATAGGGCCTGGAGCAGCTGAGAAGAGACCATGCAGGCCTGAGTACAGCATGAAAGCTATTCTCATCAGAGAAGGCTTCTCACCATCTAGAACTATCTATAAACTCTGAGCACTTATTTTTAACTTCCAACTGAACTGAACTTGTCCCTGCTTCCCTGATCTTGACTTCTGGTAGAACCTAGGAAATGTCATTTCTTCCCACAAATTAGCCACCATCTCTAAATAAGTTCACTGGGTCAGCAAACACTCATGGGCCCAGGTCCTGCTGTCACACAATGCTCTCCTGCTGTTTCTCTGGACTTCCCACTGTACGGCCCGCTGTCCCCAAAAGACCGTAGTTTAAGTTAAATGTGGGGGAAATCCACCAACTTGATAAGTAACTTAAAAAAGAAGCTCTTCAATCAAGGCTGTTCATTTATCCTGTGTTGAAGACATTCTGGAGATTATTACACCAAACTGGTTTCCCCTTAACAAATTCCCTCATATCTGCAACTTAATTCCCCCAATTCTTACATTAAAGGCTAAACCTGGATCTAAGTATCTATGCTATTCTAGTCTTTACCAGATTCCTAGCTACTAATCCAGTAATGGCGAGCAGTTTAGAGCTTTCAAGGATAACAAACAGCGGGCAGCGGCACACGTGCCATAAATTTGCCACCACTGTACTAACCCATTCACCCTGACCCCAAAGTCACCCCTACGCACCCACCATTTGTCCAACAGGCTGTGCTACCCATGTGTCATGTACAACTTCCCATTCTTCTCCTAAGTCCTTAACTGTCCAGTTGCTCCCCAATCACCCTGGACATAATATTCAGAGTCTCAACTCTGTTACTATTAAAACTCAATTAGGCCATGTACAATGGGGCACAACTCAATTCCCATGTACTTATTAGGAGGCTAAAGAAGGAAGATCACAAGTTCAAAGCCAGGCTGAGCAACTTAGCAAGGCTCTGCTTGAAAATTTAAAAATAAATAAATGAAAAGGGCTCGGGATACAGCTTAGTACTAGAGCAGCCCTGGGTTTGAGCCCTAATACTACACAAAAAGAAAAAAAGTTGATTAGTTTCATGAATTTGAACAATTTACGCTTATTTAGTCTCCTGGAAAAAGAAAAATGGAGTTTAAATTCACCCCATTGTGAGGATTAAACAAGAATTAAACATTTCTCAAACAAGAACAGAACAAAGGAACACACAGCAGAGTGTCTGACACTAACACAAACCCAGGCAGCAGTAGTTTATCTTTCCTCTCCTCCTCTTTCCCAATGGCCCCTTCTCTCTGTGTGGCTTCCATTCGCATTGGTGCTGTCTCTTTCTATTCTTTCCTGTCAGGGTCAACACTTGGATACAGTGATTCCAGTCTTCCAAAATCACTTTTATATTGCCTAAGAAAGCCAATCTCCTCCACCAACCACTTCTAAACAGAGTGCATTTCTCAGATTTGTTAGGATGCATGCAAAGCATTGGGATCCTAAAAAACAAAATGCAGAGTCTGCTTTAAAAAAAATAAAATAGAAAAAGCAGATTCTGACTCAGCAGGTTTGAACAGGTCCTGAGACTCCACCTTTCTAACAAGTTCCCAGACACTGTCATAATTCTGCTGCACACTTCAAGACACACTTCAATCTGTTTGGAGCCAGAACCTTTTTCATGCTCTGCTTTTCAAGAAGCCACTGCCTAGATTACAGCCCCGGGAAAGCAGAACAGGAATTGCTATCCCTGTCCTACCACATGGAGCTCTGAGGTAGTGTATCCAGAAACCTGTGAAAAGCCTAGAGGAGGCCCCACAAGAAAGCCACGTTCTTCCCCCTATGCCAGTGCTCCCCACTCTGCAGGCACACCCAGCCTATTTCCACCCAGGGAAATGCACCTGTCCTCTGCCACATGAAATGTCACCACCAGTGTCCAACAGGACAGTCTCTGGGGACATCTGTGTCTGCTCGCATCTGCCCATTCACACCTACATTGTAGCCCTTAAAAGCCTACAGGGGTGTTTCGTGGACAGATTCCAGCATCATTCTACATTCTAGAAAGGCTCTAGATGAAACACTCTTTCTGGACTCCCTTCCACATAAGCATACAAAATATGACTTGGGTTTGAAATTTACTCCCTACACTCTGTATTGTAGCAGTACTCAAGCCAAGTGACTTATTTGCTGGCCTTAAACATAACTTGTACAGTGTCCCCCCAAATGCTTAGAGCACCTTCAAAACAGTAGCCATGTTCAAGTTTTGGAATGAACTAAAAGTTATGATCACTATGTTCAAAGGTGAAAGAAAAAAGTAATCTTTTGAGACGTGAATACTTCTTACCCTTAACAGTCCTATATAAGTAACCAAAAAGCTAAGTTGAAAAGGGCTAATTTTATATAAATTCTATTTAGAAAAAAAATTAGCCAGCTGTTTGAAAGTGTTTTAAAGCAGGTATGTTTTTCTTGGTTTGAAAATAAAACAAAATAAAGATTATGAAAATATCACATCATACCATTTCTTGTGAAATGTAATCTGGACTCTTGGTATCAGCAGAATAAAAAGAAAAATCATAGGTGAAGGTCTTGGTGCGTTCTCTTCCTGAGTCCCCAGTCCCTCCTTCTGGTATCTAGAAAGAGAGGATGATGATGATGGCGACAAAAGGATGACAATAGCAACATAAACACTACTGGTCTTTTACAAGTGACCCATACTAAAAAAAGTATAAAACGATCACCATTATTTACAACATTTTCATATTTATGCCCTAAGAAGTTCCTGCCAGTCTCTCTAAAAACTAAATAAATGAATCAAATTTAAATGCAACCTAAACTCCACCCACTTCACCAATGCAAGCTGTGCAACAATCCATGACTACTATTCTTACCTTTTCTTTTATGATTAATTTATGTCAACCCAGCACTCTAAGCAGACAGTTTTTCTATATCCAATGATTTTACTGTACCCTCCACTGGAATCACCAGGACAGGGCTTTGCACAGCTCCAGGATGCTATTCACACAGACTGTGATGGGGCTGGGATCCCCTAGAGTTGTGCAACGTGGTGGTCCCCATGGAAACCCCAGGTCAGATGTCTCTTCATGAAGTTTCCCTAATGCACTATATCCAGAAGTAATTTCTCCCACCCGAGACACAGAAGTCTCCTAGGACACATCATACTGTGAGTTTATTACAGATGTTTAAATGTCTACCAGACTGTATGTTTCAGATGAACCCAACAATCATGTTTAAAAACCTCCACAACCTCAAAAGCCTCACACAGTTCCTTGGACACAGCAAAACAGCTTCAGTGAGCACCATATTTTTCAATATAATTCACATACTATAAAGAAACAACTGGTAAAACATTAACAATTAAAATAACATATGAAAATATTTAAAAAAAAAATCTGGGCACCACTTCCAGTCACTCAAATATCAGAGAGGAAATGTTTGTAAACCTCAAACAGCAACAGAGTAATCCAGGCAAATGGATGGCACGAAGCACAAAGGAAGTGCATCCAAGGCAAAGAAAAGGGAACCAGCAGCAGGGAATGGACAGGGGATGACTGGCAGAAAGCTGACAGGATGCAGGAGCCTGAGGGAGGGAAGACACAAGGTATCTACAGAGCCAGCATGCGGGGAGTGCAGTAAGTGAGAAGAGAGCAGCAAATGCCTCGGGCCAAGGGACATCAGCGTACAGAAGGGGCCAATACATCATCCAGAGCACCATGCAGCAGGAAAGTGGGTGCTTCCCCGGTGTCCACCACTGAACATCGGTTCTGGGGCTCTGGAAGTGGATTCCACGTGTCCAGGCCTTTGGGTCGTGACTTAGTAGAAATCCACTCTGCAGTGAACTTCAGGCTGACCTGTACTTGGCCATGGAGCAGCAGGCTCAGAAACGCAAACCCAGAAGGACAAAGATGAAAACCGCAAGCACCTAACCCCAAAAGCACATGCTTTCCTTATTATTAATTTTACATTCCTCTTTCTTCCAAGTGAAAAGCACTGACAGCCCTCAAGAAATGAGTTGACCAAAGAAACAAACAGGATATTTTAAGTAGAAAATGAAGAATCTGCCATTCTGGAAAATCACTGCTTTCTTTTTCCCAGAAAATAATGCATGTATTTGTTGTCTTTTTTTAATCTTTCATTTTCTGAGTTCTGAATAATACAGTATCAGCTCTTCAACTGCAGGCTAAGACCCCAACTTAAGCATCCAGGATGAAAACACCTGTGTCCAGCCGGTCTAGACTCAGGAGCTCCCAGAGCAGGGTGATCCTGTGGGTCTGTCTTCCAGATCAAAGAAACCATCGATGGGAGAGAAAACCCGTTCCTGCTCCGGGACTAAGCCTTACTCAACAGAGACCCAACCTGGCTACCTTAACTGAGGACAGAGGGGAGCAGAAGTAGTAAGAAGCTACCTCACTAGGACAGCAAACATGGGACACATGGAGTTGCACAAGGCCCAGGTCACAACTTGCCTTTAAGTTTGTGATTGTTGTCTTGCTTTTCTCCATTTGAATAATGAACTTGGCCTCCAAGTCCTTTTCCCTGCAACATAAACAATAAAGTACTGGTTAGGAGAGAAGAGACTATAAAAAAATTTATTTCATTTACTTTTTACATGTAGGGTGTTCGCATAAAAAGGCACCTAAAGAGTAATCTCTAATAACATTCCCCTCGAATCCTTACTAATACTATAAACATGAAGACACACAAAAACAAACACCACCATTAAAAACCAACAAATAATGCTATTAAAATCTTGAAATATTTGCTGTCTTGTGCCACCTTGAAGTGTTGCCCCGTGCCCTGCCACCTTGCTTTGGAGCCAGCTGATTATTGACTAAAACCTCTACAAACTGTAAGCTAAATAAACCTTTCCTTCCTTAATTCTGGGTGTCAGGTATTTTGTCTCAGCAATGAGAGAAAAGTAACCAAGATAGTCGCTAAACTCTGATGAGCCATAGATTGCATAGATGCATTTTCAATTTAAGACATTTTCAATTTGAGGACATAACCCCACTGTAAGTCAAGGAGCACCAGTATATAAAATGCTACCACTTATACAGAAAAATAAAAAGAATAACTTAAGCCCTTTTTAAATGCTATCTATGGAGAAACAAGAAAATGGAGTGGAAGGGGCAGGGATAGAAACTAGATTTGTTCAGATATGATTTGATCTGTAAATCATCTTCAGACAGATGAAAATAATGTACAAATATTATTATTCTTTTTTTTCCCCCTCAGTACCGGGAACCGAACTCACAACCTCGCGCTTGCCAGGCAGGCACTGTGTGGCTGAGCTAAATCTCCAGCTAAATATTATTATTATAAAATAATCTAACACCCAAATGTAAGATGAAGCAAATGAACCAAATTGTACATTATAAAGCAGGAAACTATGTCAACTAGGACTGTATGGAGGAATCTCAGTCTTTCCCTTGGCCCTGCCTCTCCCATCCACACTCTATCATCTGCTGCAAAGACAGGGTCTTCCAAAATGTACATCTCACTCTGAAGCTCCCCAGCTTTAAATTTCTTCTGCAACTTCTCAAAGCTACAGTATGGAGTCCAGTCTCAGTGCTATGCAGAGTTTTTCCTAACCTGATCCTAACCGTGGTCTGACCCCAACTCATATTGTCATTCCAGCACTGTATCCTACGCCACCCAGTTCCCAGTCCACCTCCCAGTCATGCCTCTGGCTCAGCCTGCACTCCCTCCGTAGAGCCCTCATAGCGCCCACTGCCCTCCTGCCTACTTAGACCCTGGCACAGTGCCCACAACTCTGCCGTGCTTCAATTGCTTTCTTGCCTGCGCTGGACTATCTGTCTGAACTATTAAGTGGATGGCTCTTACCCAGTCTACTCAGCGATGCCCATCATCTACCTGCACTGGCTCTCTGCTGACCCCGACACTCTTGGTTCTCACCTCCCACATGCTAGACCATCTTCCCACTGCCCACTTGACCCTCCTGCTTCTAATGGGCTTTCAGCAACCATTTTCCTACCCCTTTCTAATGAATCCCACTCATATGGGTGTCATCCCTGCTGCATCAGCTCTCTGATTAGGCCAGAGAACCTCAGAGAAGCAATGATCAGCTTCCTTCACACCTACAATCAAGTCCATCCCATGCAAGGGGAGTGCTCACAATCAACACTACCCAGGCCCTTGTCTTTTCATCCTTCAGCAGAGACCGTACAACATAAGGCACTGAGAGCTCTCTGGCCTTGGGTCAATATCCTCTGACATTTAAGAAACATGGGAAATAAATCTTGACATTTTTCTTATATTTAGGAAAATAAATAATCCTAAAATATTATTTGAACATTGATTTGACAATAGAGCAAAATGAACTTATGTCTTTCCCCAGCCACTTTGGTAAATTGGGTTTCTCAACTGAAAAGTCAATTATGGTTTCTTCATATAAATAATTAATTTATTTGAAAGGTCTGGAAACTAATCATAAGATGCTACAAAGGAGCCAGCTGAAGTATACTGAGTTATAGACGAATATCAGAGGGCTCAGGGAAGGAAAAGACTTAAAATATCCAATTAGGGAAAAACATAAACTATGTCAGTTTTCAAGATGTAAGCAAGAAAATACTACAAAAAAACAAAAAACAAAAAAATTATGTGAATCCAAATATGTTTTAAAATGTTTTCAAATTATTCAGCAATTCAAATTGACTCCATCCATTCAGCTAACAGTATTTGGTTATTCCATAATACACAGCCTGACTAGAAAAGGCTGGGGTCTCCAAACTGAATCATAAATGAGGCAGTCGATTAGGGCTGATGCAAACCAGACAACTAACTGGGTGGGATGTGTCAAAGGTCATAAAAACCCAGAGGATATGTGCAGAGCACAGAACCCAAGATGACTCCATGGCTCCTGAGGACACATCAAAATCTGATATTCGCGCAAGGTCGTGAGTTCGGTTCCTGGTACTGGAGAAAAACCAAAAACCAAAAAAAAAAAAAAAACAAAACTGATATTCTCAATCTCCTGTTTGAATCTGGCACGGTTTGCCGGACCAAACAAAAAAGTGCTATTTTCAAGCTTTCATTTATATCTGTAGGAAATCAAGCAAGTCTTCCCATAGGGCAGTTTAAATCTGGCACCAGGCCAAGTGAGTTTCTGATAGGACAACTGCCGCAATGCCTTATTTGCATGCGCTGGGGTGCCAAGCTGTGAAATTCAGATATAAAAGACCCCATTCCCTTATCCTCAGGCCGCTGTGAGCCTGTTCAATGGCCTGCTCTTGCCCAATAGAGCATACCTCTTTCCTGCCTCCAATACATTTTCACTGCCTTTTCTGTGTGTCTTGTCCAGTTCTTTGTTCAGCTCACTAGGTACAGGGAAAGAATCCCCATGTGTCCCGCTATCCAGTAATATTTCTATATAAGAGCTCACTGGTGCTTCTCCACCCTGAATTCTGGAGAAAGCCACCTCCTCCTAGGCACCTTAAAATTACACCCTATGAGCCAGGATTTAACTGCCTCCATCTCGGTGGCAGGATACACAATAGCAACAATAAAATTTCTAAAACTATTTTTTATTTTTTTAACATAAAGAACACATATTCTCCATTATATTATGGAAAGAAGTCCAAGCAACACTGTCAGTGAGAAAAATAATAAGCAGCAAAAGAGCATGCTGAGGACAATCGAGCCTGCAGCTCAATAAATAAAGGAAGCTAAGAGAATATGCACGCCTATGCGTCCAGATGCACAGAGCTGCTCTGAAAGAGAACACAGGAAGCTGCCTGTAGTAGCTCCCTTTGGAGAGAGTGGCAGCAGGGCCTCAGGGAAGAGAAAATGAACTTAGGCATTTCACTGCTGGAAATATTCTATCAAGATTTAATATTACTTTCATAATTAAAATAAACAGCTAATTAAGAGACAAAATCTCCTTCTTTGAGATATTGGATAGCTCTTCCTGCTCTAGGTCAAGTCCTTGGCCGACTTGTTCCCCACCCCACAGCCAGGCCATAGAGAGGTCAGGGCCCTGGCCTCACACATCCTTGCCTCCCCTTCCCTCAGCCCTAACCTGGCACTGCCTCTCCCCTTCCCACCCTTCTGCCTTTCCACCACGCAAAACAATGTCCAAGCTGCAAACCCACTCCTGACCCTCCTGGGATGGGGGTGGGAGGTTCGTGACCTCTGAGGCTCAGCAAATTACTGCTTCTCAACTCTACCCAATGACTCTTTTTTCCTTTATTAGGGTTCCAGATAAAACATAGGCTGCCAATTAAACTGAAATTGAGATCACCAGCAAAAATAAACCTCTTAGTATAATATAACTCCACCCTACATACTAATGAGACATGAGTGCATCTCTGCTTGCTGCCTCAGACCACACAGGCCACCAGTGCTCTGCACCCTTGAGGCCCTCCTATAGCCAGGTATGTGCGCTCCCCTGCCAGGCCAAGTGGGTGAGCCACACCCATAGAACCTGGCACACTTCACCTCCCCATCTCTTACTTCCAGAACCACAACTTCCAATTCTCTCTGGCTGATCCTCATCACTTCACAAGAGGCTGCTGTGAGAAATTAGTGCACAGCCAGGGACCGCTTGCTCTCTTCTCTCTCTCCACGAAATCCAAAAGCCTTCAACTCAACTTTGGGAGTAAAAAACCCAGGTAGATAGTCCTGCAAAGGATCCCAGTGTGCATTCTCCAGCATCATCCTAACTCATTTCAGCTCCTCGGTGCTCAGTCAGGTCAGTGGCACCATGACTGACTTTCTGACACCAACCAGGGCCTGGATAGGGGTGGGAACAACAAGAAACTTGTGCGGCCTCCCCTCCACTCCTGGCAGCTGCCACCCGGGAGGCGCCAAGGACTGCGGTGCTGTCACAGCCCTGCAGATATTACAAGGTGTGGTGTAAGTGAAATCCTCAGCTGACCCGGGCCACAGAAGAGGGAGCTGTTAAAATGAGCTGTTATCATTGTCCCTGGACCAGGGATGGTGTCACATACTTAAAAGAACAGGCAAAGAGCCAACTGGTCCAAGTTACAGGCTGGAATCCCAGAAAAGAAGCCCTGGTGAGGAGTTCAGCCTGCAAGGTATTCATTCTGGTGTGCCCTGGGGATCAACACAGCGCAGGGAGGAGACAGGAGGCCGGGCAGAGAGGCCTGGGGCTGCGACACTGACTCAAGCACAGCCTAGGTGGCAGGGCCCCTATAGCCCTGCATGGAGCTGGCGTGTGGACTGGTGGCTGCCTGAGGAAAAGGCACCAGGCAGCTGCACGACCCCTGAGGAGGTCACAGCAGGAGGCTGGGCCACCAGCACTGCAGCAGCTGGGCGACAAGACCTGGGAAGGAGACTCAGCATGCACAGAGCTACGCTTAGACCTCTGGGAAACAGTGAGCACCTGCAGTAGCATTAGCCACCCTTACCGCATTGCCAGGGATACCAAGCAAGGAAGTAGATGCTTTTCATTCAGTTTCTAGAAACAATAATCATCTGAATACACAAAACGATGTGCCTTGAGGTGTGCAGAGTCATCACCAAAGAGGTTCAGTTGCGTGCTAGAAAAATCTTTG